AATGTTTTGCTATAGTATGTCTATCTATACAAACGTCGATGTGAAGCATCATCGTTGGCGAAAATAAGTCATGCCAGCGTAACAGCGGCCCGCAAAGTGTTAAAACTTCATCTTTAAGTGCCATACAGTTCACTGTTTGCGCCTCAATTATTTGTAAGAGAAATTAATTCCGCAAAATAAAAACATWTTATATAAATCATCAATACTTTTTCCTGGCAGCTCAAAAATAGATATAAGATTTTGTAAATCTTCGTTATCTTTGAGAATAGAAATTATACTTTTTTATCCTTTTTTTTATAGAAGCTACTGGTTGAGTCACATCCAGAAAATGCATGGGCAAATAATATAAATGGTTTTAAATGCCGATGATTTGATATCGAATATAAAGTATTTGTTGTTTTGCTCGATGTCAATTTATAAAAAAGAAGACTTTCCATTTTCGGAGTAAGTGCAATTATTGGAACAAATAAGTCCACGTCATTACCGACTATTGCMACTAAATCACATTTTTTGTTGAATTCAAGAGCGGTTTGGACGATCAAACAATCTGCATCTTAATCGTCAATTTGAGTATTGATATTGTGTCTCCGTAAATACGCAGATGACATCTGTACAAATCTATACTTGTTCGCAACATTTGAAAGAAATTTCGCTTGACTTAAATTGACCAACTAATMTTCTGCTATCGAAACATTAGCACCTACATTTATCAACCCTTGACGGTATCTTTCGTACGACTTTGTTCCAATCAATTCATTATTATAACCATCGAAAACTATCAGAGCATTACATTTAAAATTTGAAACGATATAATCTAAGTATATTCGAAAAAAATCGCCGAACTTCATACTATGTTGCCAACTAATGCGGTAAAGTAACCAACCTCCATCGATCTCGTAATTAGAAGACTTTAATAATTGTTCAGACGAAATACTTGTTTTAAAGATTTTGTTAAGTTCAGATTTAGCTGTCTTTCTCATCAGCCCACTTTCGTCAAATAAACTTAAAGGAAATGGCGCCAATTCGTACGATAGTGCATTACGCTGTTTTTCTTCATCGCCATTAAAAGCAATGCAAGATTTTTGRAAGAGTAAAAAAGAATCTACGGATAAGAAATTGTGGAATCTTAAAGGAAATCCATATTTGGCTACTGATAATGGTTGTATGTTGTAAACTTTTGACATAGAAGCTTCGGCAACGCTATTACTTAACACTGTAGCCATACTTTTTTGTCCCATTTCTATTGCCAAATAGCAATTAATGTTTGGACCTCTTATTATTCCAGATGATAAAGAAATTAAAGAATTATCGGGTTGAAAGGGATTATGTTGTTGAAGTCAAAACAGAAAAGTATCTATGTCTTTATCGTCTTTTTTATACGACTACCAGACAGATCCACTTGCTGTTCACTTRAAATTGAGGAAAAGTCGAAATAATTTTCTAATAATTTTCTATTCCATTATATTGAATACTGATGGCATGGTTCATAAATATCAAGCGAYAATAGAGCGTGTAACCTCTCTGCCCTGAGTAAAATCTATTCCAAAAAAAAAAAAACCAAAAAACGGTTGTATTTATTTCTATTTATTCACAACCGATAGAAAAGAGTTTCATTTTTGCACCTGTTACTGTCCTTGAAAGTAGTCACCAGCGTTGTGTAGAACCCATTGTCAGCGATTTGGAAGGCCTAGTATACCGTTAGCAGAGCCTGTTCTGTTAATGGAGACGGTTCTGTTGGTGCGAATGGAGCGGTCTACTGCCATGTCTCATCCAGTGTTACGATATGACGTAAGAAAGCCTCTTCTTCGCGCATATAGCGCTTCAAGTTCATCTAAGCAGCGTCGTAATGCATCTATTTCTGCATTTCYGTTAATTCATGCGGAAACCATCGTAACATTCGCTTCAGAACTGTTTCAGAGACTCGAGAGGCAGTAGACCGCTTYATTCGCACCATCAACAGAACAGACTCTGCTAACGGTATACCACGTCTTCCAATCTGCTGGCAACGGTTTCTATACTACGCTGGTGACTACTTTGAAGGACAGTAACAGATGCGAACATGTAACTCTTTTCTATCAGTTGTGAATAAATAGTTGCCACTCTTTAGGATCCAACCTACGTATAAGTAAATCTTTCTGTCGAAATACAACAATTACAAAACAATTTCATATCGTAGATAATTCTAGCGTGTAGGAACTTAATCTACACAAATTACTTGATATAAAAATTAATCAATGCAGATATAATAAAACAATTATTTTTTATTTATTCTCATTGTATTRAAAAAGTACAAATGGGGTGTCTTTAAATAGACTGGTATTAATTCTTCGAATGGAATTAAGCGTTGTATACAAAATTATTCTCTATTATTATTATTATT